CCACCAGGCCCGCCGTCGTGAGGCATAGGTCTATGGTCGTTCTTCCGTCACGCTCTTCATATGTGATAGTGCCTGGGACAAGATTGCTCGTGAGACAGTGATCTTCGATGATTGTGATGAGCTCGGCAGCATTAGGATCCGCTCGCTGGACCCGGTCACCTCCCCACAGCTCGTGGTGTAGATTGAAGTCGCCAATGATGATCTGTTCATGTTGGGATGATTGTTCCAGTGCTTTGCCGAGAAGGGGTAGCGTGCTCCCTCTTTCGGTTGCGGTTTGTGTCGGGTTGTAGACATTGTGAACCATAATCCGTTGCTCTTCTTCTGTTCCAAGTCTTAGGTTTAGTGAGCCGAGATCTCTGTTTGCCTCTTCAAAGTGCCACCTGGAGTGATCGAGTCTCTTGTTGATGAAAAAGCAGACCCTGGCTGGAAGGGTTTGGTCTTTGTCTGGGTAGCATAGGTGAAATTGATCCTTGGCTGGGTGGTGAGTTGTCGTGTCGAATGGGTTCTTCCAAGGCTCCTGGATAGCGAGGATGTTGTATCGTCCTATGTAGGGATCTTGTAAGAGCGTGGCCATGACTGTGTCTTTGGATTTTCTGACGTTGTACTGTAGTATTGTAAGAGTATTTTGTGTTAATATTCTTGGTCGTCGATTTCCATCTGTTGACCATGCTGTGTGGTTTGTCTGTTGACGTCTAGTGCTTCCAAGACCCTCCTGGAAGCGGCTGCCGTTTGTCTTGGCCGCTGGCTCCCCATGTTTACGACGATCTTGTTATCGGGATTATCTGACGCCACCTGGTCACTGCCAGGGTTCGCTCTTTTCTGTAGCCTCTTGGTAGGCGACCTGCTCCGGGTCGAACTGGCGTCCTGGGGTCGGCCTGATTCCAAAATAGGTCGTCCTGTCCTGGTGATTGTGTTGGTGTTGTTTTGCTGCTCCCGCGTTCTGGTTCCGGTAGATATCCTGGTGACGAAGCTTTCTAGCTCTAGATGATATCTGGGCCGCAGTTTAGAGGCCGCTTTGGCCTTATTGACCTCCTGCTTCCTGGCAGGGCATTGGTTATTCCAGGCTTCGTGTACACCGTTGCAGGCCGCACATTTCCGTGGTGCGTCCCTATCGCTCTTGGTTGGGCAATCCCGGGTAGGATGCTCTTGCGCGCAGTAGCCGCATGTTATTGTTGCCTTGCACTGGGTTCCTATGTGGCCATATTTGTGACACTGGAAGCATTGTCTTACGCGGCACTGTCTGTCATAGAGTTCGCATTGGAACACCTTGCCTTGCCAAATGAGGCCCTCATTAATAACTTTATTCGCATCTTCTGGTCGTGTGAACTCGACCACGACCGAAGATGCTGATTTAGAGGACGAAGATCTCGTTAGCCAGCCTATGTACTTGATCTCCGCAGTTGGTATGAAAGGCTTATTATCCTGTAATAACCTATCTCTAATGAGTTCGAAGTTATCCATATCCATCGAACTAGTGCGTACACCATGTACCAAGACACCATACGTCGGAATGCATACAGTGGCACCGTTTCCGATCCTTTGTTCCCAGTCTTCTGCAAACTGTCTAAGCGCTACCATGTCCGATGAAGTGGCCGTCTTGATGCTCAAGTCACCGCTCCTGAGCTGATTGGAGGATACTACCTTGATCTTCTCTATGTGTTCGTTGCTGCTTTGTGCGATTGCGAGGTCTACATGTGACTTGAGGCTACGGGGACTCATCGCTCTGATGTTGGCTATAGTGACAGGGTCTCTGATGTTGATGATGATCTCGCGTACGGTCTGGACAGGTGATGCTTTCTGGTTCTGTGGGTTATGTATGCTTGTCGCCAGCCCTCCCCTCGCCATCACGTTGGCGTAGGTAGGCATGGCGTTGGCTTGGTTCTGCTGGCTTACGAGCTTCATGTCTCTGATCATTTTCATTGTTGCTTTACCGATTTCCGTGGCTTCTTTCGCGGCCGTTTTTGCGTCCATTGCAATTTCTGAATTACGTTGAACTACTTCCATGGTTTGTTGAGCTTTGGTGTTTGTTTCGTTGAGCTCATTTTTGAGGCTGTTGACGTGATGCGCTAGGCTTTCAGCTGCGGCTTTTGTTTCGACTTGGCCGATTTTCACTGCTTCGTAGACGTGACCAAGATCGGGCGTGCTCTGCATTTTGACGATGAGGGTGAGAGCCCCAATGAGGGCAACTCGAACTCCTCGGGATGCAACGGGTAGACCATCGCCGTTGTCGATGGCTGACAGTGCCTTTTGGAGATATTTGCTCAAATTTGTGGCGTGCTCTCGGTAATCAGTGGGCCAGATTTCGTCCTGGGGCCACGGGGTCGCCATGATGCCTGAGTCGCACTGGGCAATGCGACCGACA